TAAATAAATAAATAATGCATAATGTATTTAATGTCACACAGAAGAAAAGGAATGATTAAGTGGTATTTTGGGATTCTGCATTCATAAGTTTTGATGAATTAGCTTTATTCCTTTAATTATTTACTGAACACCTTTATGAAATGAAAAACAATCCATTTATCAAATTATCCAAAAAAGTGAAATATTTCCCAAGTAACATCTGTTAGGTTCTGGCACACCTAGATATTTATTTACCAATTACTTTAAATTTTTTTTTTGGGGGGGGAGAGTTGAAATTTAATAAATATATTTGTGCTGTAATTGGTTGGGTCTTTTTCCATTTCAGTAGTGGTAAATGCAGAATATATATAACATATTTTGTGCTAACTATACTTAAGGATTTATCGTAGAAGATGAATATTAAATTTTGCAAGCCTATGACACTAATCTACTCAAACAATAAAAGTGAAGCATAGAAAATGAGATCTCTGAAACACTGGATATGTTTCTTCATTTAAAAAAAGATTTTTTTTAATTAAACCATCCAATTTAATGTTTTTATATGGCACTTTAGTTTTGAAGGTAAAGTGATCTAGAGACAGCTGACAAAGAAATTATAACTGCAATTCCTTGGTGAAAATGTTAATGACAGCAAAATATTGTTTAATTAGATGATTGCGGCATCTGGATTAACACGCTTTAAGAGCGATGTTCCTGTGCTTGTCTGCTTCTTCACACTTTACAGACATTTTGTCATCTCCAGGTCATTAGGAAAGAATTTTTAATGATTTTTCTAGAAGCAAGCAGTTCAAGTTACATCTAATTAGATGACAATAATAAGCCCAACACATGCAGTAGCTAAATATATACATAATTAACCAGGGAGGGCTTGTTCATCACAGAGTAAAAAAGTGGAAAATGCTAAACAGGAGAAAAAGGTTGGGGTTGGGGAAGTTGTGCTGAATTCATTAGCTGATCATATGAAAAACAACTCAAAAACCTTTAAAAAAAATTCTCAGGTCTAACAGAGGATCATTTACATGTAGCTATGTTAGCAATCATTCTTTTTTTTTTTCATTCAAGAATGCCAGATTCTAACATCTTTTTCCTAGTATTATTTAATATGGTGTAAAATGAGGCATAGAATGTACCTTTCAGAACACAATGAACAGAAATCAGGTCAACTCTAGGAATTAGAGGCTGAAACACCATTTTTACTCAAACTCTAAGCATCATTAAAATTCTTTCACTTAATCTCCCAAACTTAATATTCTTTGAAAAAAAATCCCAAGTGTTTCAAAAATAGTAAAATAAGTTATGCTGTAGTTTTATTTGAACTCTCATGTAGTTTTCACAAGCTCTCAAATAATAACTAATGAAATGACGAAAGTAGGATATGAACCTGGATATGGAGCAGGTTCCCAATGACACACCACACACAAAAAAAAAAAAAAAAAAAAAAAAAAAAAAAAAAAAAAAAAAAACACCAAAATTTCAAACGGAATACTTAGGTCTAGGCTTATGAGTGCTGTAATTTGTTAAATTACACTTTATCATATTTCTAATTATCCAGAGAAAATATTTGTGAATGGAATAAAATAAAGGTTATGAACAATTACAGGCTTTTAGGTAAGAATCTTTGAAAAACCAGGAGGTTTTCTGAATATTTGACGAATTTCTTTGTCATAGCAAAAATATGTGTTTATGTATTTTCAACTATATCTTTATATGTAGAGATTTTTTGTGTATATACATACATCATACAAAGGTCTAAAGTCTACAACATGTATTAATACTAGAATATTGTATTGTAGGCCTTATAGTGTCTTACTTTTTAAAGCATGTAAAAAGGATAAAAACAAAAACAGTCAAGTATGAAAGACATTAAGAAATAGAAATAAGAAATGCGTCATAAAATTTACTTTGTATTTCATGTTAAAATATTATTTTTGGAAAAAAGATAAATCTGTGTGTAAGAAAGTAACCAAAATATTTGTAGAAAATGTAAAATTTATTAAGTCACAATGACCTATATTTTTAAAACATGAAGCCAGAAAAGATTGTTTCATCTTTTCAATCAGATTACAATTCTGTAACTCTTCTGTTTAACCTAGGAGGTTTCAAGAATCCTTCACCCTGCAACTCTAGTAAATTCACACAATAGATCACAAAATCATGCATTCCCTTACAAAGCATAAATATAAATCAGTTCAATGCTATGAATATTTCCTGGGCATAACTAATCACCCCTGCCCCATGCCCCATAACAACCTAATACTCTCAATAAAAAGATGAGCTATAGGCATAAAATGCTAAGGATATACTAATACAAGTATAATAATGTATGCCATGGAAAATTAATAAGCTTTTATTTAGGTAAACAAATATAGGTGTAATGCAGTGATTCCGAAAGTATGACCCCTAGACAATTTGGACCACTGGAATCAGCATCAAGTTGGTTTTAAAAACAAAAATTCTTCAATCTTATCCAAATCTATGGAGTCAGAACTTTTAGAGTGGAGTGATGTGTATTTATTTTAAGGCCTTATTCTGATGTGCTGAAGCTTGAGAACCACAAATAGGTTGGGTGCTGGGGGTGCTGATGCTTGGTGGTACTCAGC